AGAGTTCTATTATTGTTGTTTGACTCTTATTATTAACCTTTTATATCACTTTCTGTATTTGTAATACTATTGATTTAAAAAAATGCTTGTCTATATAAAAATTGAATCCGTAATGTGTAACGACAATATAAGATAAATGACCAAAAAAGTAAGTAAATACAGATAACAACAATATAATGATGTAAATGAAAAAAAAATTGAATAAGAATATTATATTTTATTAAAACTTAATAAAAATAATTTTTTGTTAATTTTGAATAAAGTGTAATATTCTTATACATTACATCTATATTTGTTCATTTTTTCCATAAGATTATATGTAGTTTTGTGTAAAGCCAGAACATTTATTTTATTATCAACACAAAAGCTTTATATAATTGTTGGTTAATTAAATATCCTGGAATTTTTAAATGTTTTAATTAAATGTTTAAATTTTAAATGAAAACAATACGTCTGTTACGTAGTACTATCGCGTTATTACGCTTTTTTATAACAGACAAATGAAACGACAATAAACGAATCCGTAACTTGGAACTTTGCTCACCGCGTTTATATACTCGTTAGAAGTGCTTTTTCGGCATAGCAAAGAAGTTCAGCATCAATTGATACATCTATGATTACCATCTTCAGATTAATTGGTATTCCGACGAAGGTAGATTTTTGAAAGAAGAAAAGACAATAATTTGTTGTATTCACATTAACGTATCAATGTTAAAACTATCACTTTCTTTTTACTGCTTTAAAAAAAAAAAGAATCTTTAATATTTATAGCCTGTCGTTGGATATTTCTTTTTAAAACTGAAGAAAGTTTTAGTTGATTAGCTGTCATGTTATTTGATTGTGCAATGTATATATTGCTGAAAGACCTATAAGACTTCTGGTATCATATTTATATTATTTCTTTGTATAATGATAATTAAAATTCAGAATAAAAATCAGCTAGAGATTTTATCCATTTGTCAAAGAGTCGGAAATTTGATTAAAAAATTTCCGGTTAAAAATCGAATAGAAAAAAAAAACACGTCTGACGTCTTTTACTTAGAATTTTTTTTCTTGAAAAGTGTATACGATAAATAAAACACAGATTTTTATATTAGACTGCTGACTTTAATTATTTTGCATATGACAGAAAAAGATAAAAATGATGCTTAAAAAAGGTTTTATCTATGTCCACCCATACACATACCTATATACGTACTTATTATAAATATATGTACCACGTGGTCAATATGTGAATAGTGAACATAGAAATGGCAGTCATATACATAGGACGATGTTGTAAATGCTTTGTTAATTAATCAGAAGAAAGAATTGAACAAAGAATGTTTCAAAACGTTTGCACCATGAAGTGAATCACTCTATTTATTTAGGAATTTAGACTTTAGTTCATAATTTGCTCTAACTTGTAATACCACTTCCTCATTATATAATATTTACAAAAATATTACAAAAGATTTGATATATATACTGCAAACGATTTTACATAAGAAATAATACAAACAAATAATTAAATTTTTTAACTAATAAGAAAGATTGTGCCAAAATTTTACACAAATACTTAGACGTAATATAATCGACACAATTTTTATATTGTATTTTTGATAATGCTTTGAGTTGTAATATATACATTCTTAATCTATAGAGAGTATTATTTGATGCAATCTATTACAAAAAAATTAATAATGACTTTTGAGGAAGACTTTCAAAAAATTTTTATTCAAATACTTTTTTCTAAAAATTTGTGCTATTTCTCAATATGTTTACTATAAAAAAAATTATTAGTAAGAGACTGATTGTTCAATTACCTAGCCGAAGTTATATAGACACAAGAGAAGAGTGTTGTTATTAATTACGAGTATTTATATGCGTCGTATTGGGTTATTATCGAAATATAGTAACTCGGATCTTATAGTCCGCACGGCCACGACTTCGCGGTACCCTCTATCCGCGCTATTAATCAGGCCGCAAGAAAGCGGACGAAAAAGCGTGACGGTTATGATTTATAACCAGACGCGCAGAGACGGACGCTCGAGTTTAGATCGCGCAGCGATGCATGCTCGGTTGCGCGATAAATAAAGTCAAGCGACATTATTCCGTGCGCGAAACGTGTGAAAAATGATTTTTGTCGGGCTCAACTGAAATATTAAATTGTAGACCGAATTAATTACACCTTTAATAGCGTCTCATCGTCGTACGCGTCCAACTTCATTGAGCACGAGGCATTTAATTATGTATTCGCCGTTCTGATAGTCGGTGGGTCATTAGAGTGAACCTGCAGTGTCGAAGAAAACTTGAATATTTGACTTAAAAAATGACAATTAAGATTTTTAGTTTTTAAACGATGCAATTAAAAGTCTACATTTTTTGAAAAATGTGTATACATAAAGGTTTGAATAGGAAATTTATTTAAAAGTCTTTCTCGATAATCATTACTAATTTTTTTGCAATAGATTATTTAAATAATACTTTTCCCAGATATATAAAAAGCTTTTCAGATGTATTTCTTTGCATAAACATAAAAACTAAACGGAAAGATTTATGGCATCAAGAAAGAATACTAAGTTCTTTTATCGAAGTTTAAGATAACAGATCGTTATATTTCTAACTTCTTAATTTTCAACTTCGAATATTCCGGTTGTTAAGCCTTAAATAGGATTTCTGCTATGAGAATTTATATCATAAATGTTTGTCACTTTGAAGTGTTAACTTTTATTTATGTTATTTATTTACTAAAAACTTCAGAGCACAAAGAATTTAGAATTTAGGATTAAGAAGCGGTTGCAAATGTTTTCAGCGCTATCAAATTATAAGCATAATGCTATCAATAAGAATGCTCAAACATCTTCATGTAAATATTTATTGCCCTATAATTTAAAAAGCTTTGAAGTATTAGATTTTGTAGGTAGTGAATTAAAATTATATTATACGTTTTCTACTATGTTAGCTGCAACAAAAATTTTTATTTTCATGTAAGAGCGATCAATTCTTACAATTAGTGTAGATTTCAAATTTACATATATCTCGATAATAAAAAATCTAAAACACAATTCGATGAGTTCCACAAGACAATACTTACCTACTATAATAAAAACTATAACATTATAAACAGGCTTTGCATATTGTGCATCTACATTATTTACGCTATTAATGTTTGAAAGACGTACCTTTCAAAGGATGAATTGTGAGTTATTTCTGACTTATATTCTACTTGATAATCAAAAAGTGGCTTCGCGTATAAATATAGTAAGCATAGTAAAATAGCAGTAAAGAAAACAATTAAAATGTCAACGTGACATTTTAAGTCTTATTGTTATTACCAATGAAATTTCATTTGATTTCTGTTGTCCAGCTTATTGACTCTGCTTTAATGACCGATTTACTGATATATTTATTTGATATACTCGACGTTTTTTTAAAGATACGAGGGCAAGCTGGGCAAGTCAATAAGTTTTTAGAAAATCTGTTAGAGGGCACTTGTAGTGTCATGTCACATTACTTTTTAACAAGTAGCATCTTTCAGCTGATTACTGTCAAATTTTGAGCGGAATTCATCGAGAGGTTTCATTTCTGTAAATGATTAAAGCGAACAACCTTTGTATTTTTTGCAAAATAGAAAAAAACGAGTTTTGTGCAGTGATCAAACATCTATATATGAAAGGTTTAACGCTGAAAGAAATCAAAGCCGAGTTGGATAATGTTCATAGTATCAGTGTTTGCGACTGTATACAATTGGGTGAATGAATTTAAACGTGGTCATACATCCACATGTAATGCATCTCGTTCGGGACGTTCAATTAAGGCTGCTACGCCAAAAATCATCGATAAAGTCCACGATTTTGACTGTCGACGAGTGAAAGTGCGCGAGTTTGAGGCTACAGGCATATTACATTGCACAGGGATTTCAATTTTGCATGAACAATTAGGTATGAAAAAGCTATCGGCAAGATGGGTTTGCTCACTGTGGACCATAAGCGCGATCGTGCAACGATTTAAAAACAACGTTTGGAGATGTTTCAACGTAATCCAGATGAATTTCTGCTTCGATTCATTACTGTGGACGAAACATGAATCCATTACTTCACACCCGAAGAAGGCGAAGACCGTGAAGTCGGCCGGAAGGGTGATGGCCACAGATTTTTGGGATGCACGCGGTATAATTCATATCGATTACCTTCCGTCGAAGCAAAAAACGATCAATGGCGATTACTTAGCCTTATTGGACCGTTTCAACAACATTTTAAAGAAAAAACGTTCCCATTTGACAAAGAAGAAAGTGTTCTTCCATCAAGACAATGCACGGGTTCACACGTGCCTGGCACTGATGGCCAAATTCAACGAATTTCGCTACGAATTGCTTTCCTATTCAGCATATTCGCCTGAAGCCCTCTGCGACTATTTCCTGTTTCCAAACCTGAAGAAATGGTTAGGAGGAAAGAGATTCACCACCAGAGAGCAGCTCATCGCCGAAACAGAGGCTTATTTTGAAGGGTTGGACCAATCAAAATAATTGTTTCATAACTAGACATCGGATTTTTTATGCAAATGCTTTTTGTGGACATACACAAAAACGCAAATTTACACAAATATGCAAATATGCATAATATACACGATTAAATATGTTTTTTAAGAATGTTTTTGTAATAATACAAATTTCTATTTTGATATTACTTTCCAATCTGCTTTCTAAAAAATATGAAATTGCATAAGAATCCGATGTCTATTCATAATATAATTTTATTAAGACAATACAAATTGTACATCAATAAGAAATCATTTTGAATAAATATAATTTATTCAAAATGATTTCTTAATTTCATCAGATTGTAATTTTTACAGATATTATTTGAATAAGTAGGTTATAAATTATCATATTTTGCAAATCATCATATCATATTCATATCAATCAATCGGGAGTTATATGATATACACATTAATTATATTTGGTATATAAATTAATTATATTTGATATATTAAATTATATCGGTGGATCTATTATCCATCTAAATTGTCGATAATTATTGAGTAGCTTTCTTCTTCATATCTTTTATTGTCTTCGCGACTACTAGTTGCCATTTATTGGGCTCATTCTTCCGGAACCAGTCAGTAACTGCTAAAAACATTTCTTTTTGTTTTTCAGTACACTTCTTGCAATTACTTTGGTAAACTTCGCTGAAAATCCCTGAAATAAAAAAAATATTTTTTGAAATTTATTCTAATAATTGATTTCGCTTACCTGATTAAAAAGTCTATAGAATCTAAATACGATAGAGAATTAAAACAAAAGACATCTTAGAAATTTTATTCTTTTAAAGTCGTATTAAAAAAAAATATATATATATTGTTAAAGAAAAGACATAAGTAATTAAAAAACTAATATTCATTTTAAGGATATGGTTTTACACAAAAAATAAATGAACAATTAGTATTATCTCATATTTTGATAAATCAATAATAATCTATTAAAACGTATATATAACATGAATCGATAAAAATATATAATTAAATGAATTCTTTGCATGTAAACCTTCATCTATTTCTGTTGAATTATTTTTATTCAAAAAGTAAAAATTGAGTTAACGTTATTAAGTAATCAACGATGTTTAAATATATTATTGTTAACTTTTGTTAAATCTTAATAGTTTTTAAAAATTACAACACAAAATATTGTAACAATATTGTAACAATATACAATATACAATTGCAGTAATATTGCTGCAATGTTATTATAATATTTAATAAGTAAATATGTGGGTATTATTTAATAAGTAAAAATCTACCTTACGATGGACGCGCTTCTCGTAAGAAGGAAATGTCCAGGTATTTGACAAAAAAGCGTGTGTTCTAAATCAAGTTGCTGAAGATGTAAATCTTATGAAGATTTCCAAATTCTTTCGAGTCTGCCTTTTAGAACTCTTTCTGTTTGTAATTTTATTTTGGAATATATGATGCCAAACAATAATATTTTAGCAATTAATAAAACTGAATTAATTAATAAAATGTTGCATAACGTTGCATAGATATGTCTGTAATTCTTTAAATATTTCAATCATGTCGCAAAATATCGCAGCAATATTCTAATTTAGTTACAAGGGAACATTGTAGCAACGTTTTAGGAAATATCTAATTTTTTAAAGTAATATTACTACAATGTTGCTATAATATTTTGTAGAATATTGTAGAGGTATATACATACATATATGAATATGCATTTACAATCGCAATATATGTATCTATATGTAATATCTAATTTAAATTTTTTTAAAACATAAGAATTAGAAAAGAGCAAATAGGGAATTTTATTTCGATAATTGTTGTTTTTTGCTTAGTTTGACATAAGAATTTCCTATTTTACATTGTAAATGATTTAATGACAATAAGAACTTTTATATTATCATATTACGACAAAATAAATTTTAATAAAATTATGTATAAAGGACTCTTGTTAATAAATAAATTTAAAAATGAATAAAGGGCATAAGAGTCAAAAATTAAAACTAATCTTATATGTCAATTTAAAAAAAAAATTTGTATTACGAAGATAAAATAGAAGATTGATGTTCTTAACAATATAATATGATAATGACATTAGAATTACATGTTTCGGCTTCTATATTGAGCCATCTTCAGATCTTCAACATCAAAAATATAAAAATAAAATAGATACGCAGTGAATGTTCCAGTTAAGAATTCTCCGATGAATAAAACTTTGACAAATCAACTGTCCTAATGTAGTTGGTCGAAAATAAATTTTGTGTATATAGATAAAAAAATCTATCACCAAAGACAAATAATTGTATAGATACAATACCTGTTATGTATGTCATTATGTCTGTCTGGCACGGTCCTATTTCCATGTAGCAATCGTAATATGCATCTCGAATAGTATTATTTTTGAAAAAAATATGATAATCGAAATGATCGATCTCATCAGAATAACGCTCTTCTTGTGCAAAAATGCACATCAGTACAAGTACATTCACAGCAATGCTCAACGCAATATGACTTAATCGAGCCATTGTTTCTACAGCTTTGAGACTTAAGAGACTACAAATACCTGAGTGTAACATATATGGTACATCTCATTTTTATATGTTTTACTTGATAAATAAAATTACGTGACGTAAGCACGTATGCAAATTGTAAACACGGTTAAAATTTAACATATGTGTTTGAATAAAGAGATAAAAACGTATAAATTAGTATGTTTTTTAAGGGACAAAGAATACATTAAATTTTTTAAAATACGATGTATATATATATCACATGACATATATATGTATTTTTTAAATATGAGATATCTATGTATAACTTCTGTATCTTATGATTTAGTTGATTTAAAATACCTTTTTTTTAGCTAAAAAGTATGAATCAATTTTGAATTTTAAGACGTTAAATGGAAGAAGTGGTGTAAAAAGGCATATTATTGCAATGGGATATTGCAATATTTTTCTTTATGAATCTATTTATGGGATTACTACAAATATTTATTCATAGTTTATCAATTATCAGTATTGATCCATATATTTAATTCTGGGAAAAAGTTTCTAAATCTATTAAAGTATATTACAAGGCTCAATAAAATAAATAATAAATAAACAATGGCTACGAGCCCAATAAATTCGTTTAATTAATTATAAAAAACAATAACTAATAATAAAAATATAAACAAAACTGATAATATGTTTCCATCATTGCGATTGGCTTTGTGAACAAAACACGGATGCTAAAATTGTAATTTAAAATTTAAATTTATAATACAATAAATACTTAAAATTATAATACAATAAACTAATAAAGAATGCGTAATCGATAACTTGTAGTTTGCTAATGTAATACTACGGAAACATTGTGCGCACATGAGATGCGTAATTACTATTAAACTTTAATAAGGACTATTCCGCGTGAAGTGGATTATTTGAGAAATTTTGTACATTTTGCACATAGATAGTGGAAGGTAGAATCTTGGGCTAAAACATTTTTTTTATTACAAAATTAATTAAGATACAAATGATTAAAAATTAAACTACTTTTTTTGTAAAAATTCATAACCTTTTTTCATAACTTTGTTGCTATTAATGTGTTACCTGACTTAATTTTTTTATTTACGCTGGAAATGTTGTAGTCTACACAAGAAAAAAATTAATATTTCAAAAGATTTTGTTTCCCATTGTTTATTTAATAATAAACTTTTTAACCAATTTTGAACACTTGGGAAAAGATCAATAAAAAAATCTTTTTCGAAAAATGATTTTTACGTACTTTCAGTTTTATTTCATTTTTATATACTTTTAGAAGAAATGTTTTCTATATATTTTCTATAGGTTCTATGTTTTCTATATAGTTTTTTTTCTATATATTTTCTATATATGTTTTCTATATGTATTTTATGTTTTCCTACTTTTAGTTTTTCTACATCTTAGAAAAAATATTTAAAAACATGTTTTGCCACGTTTTCGAATAAAAATTTTTTTCAGGTCTCAATGCAGAGAAAGTTTTTTACTCGACGGTTACGCACAGCTTTTACAAAACAATCGAACGAGGCTTTTGAACTTACAAAATACCCCCACCATATTGCTAGTATGTTATGTCTATGGGACAGTATTGTGTCCCGCCGTCGCGCGCTTGACAAACATCCACTTTGCATCGAGAAAACATTTTTTTCTCGAAAACTAGGCAAGACACGTTCTTGAATTTTTTCCTAAAATATAGAAAAACTGAAAGTATGTAAAAAATATTTTTTTTTTAGTTTTCCGACACTCCTCGATTATTTAAGAAATGGTTAAAGATTTATTGTCAAATAAATAATAGAAGACAAAACTTTTTTGGAATGTTAATTTTCTTTCCTCTGAACTAGAACATTTCAGCATAAATTAAAAAAAATAAAATCAGCTAGTTCACAACAGAGTTATAATTTTTATAAAGTAGAATAGTCTAATTTTTCGTTGCTTAATTAATCTTGATTAAATTTGCAATAAAAAGAATTCTTAGGCATAAAATTCTCTCTCCCACAGCACTATCTATGTGCAAAACTTCAAAAATTTCGGAGAGATGATTGATCTTCAAATTGCTTCGAATCGCCAATAAAACATTAAAAAAATTATTTATAAAATTTTTTTATTTACCAATATATTTCTTTTTTGCGTTCTTTTTAAGTAACGGGTTCTATAATAATATTTTTGCTAATTTAACTAGTATATATTATAACTGATTTATTATAATATATTAATAGTTAAAATAATATAATTACGTGATATTCTTCGCAATATATTAGATTATAATTTAAAAAGATTTTAACGATATTATTGGTTCATTGCCCTCTTTCTCTATATTATTTGTTTTTAAAAACATATTGAGCCTTATCTCAATGTACATTTTTAATTGACGCAGGCGAAATGAAGCGTTTAAAATCACAATTTGATCAAGGGGACGTTATTTCAGATTATTAGAATTGCGTTTCAAGACCGACGATAGTTCGGCGCGCAATTTGGGGGGAATTTTCAGATCGAGTTGCGTTTCAAGACCGACAATTGTTCGGCACGCAAGTTGGGGGGGGTGAGAGGGTAATACATATATTACTTTGAATAAATATATTGCGAAGAATATTACTACGTCAACTCGCCATCAGAGATCTATAGATATTTGCAAAAATTCTCGCAAGTGCTTGGATACGCGTATATCTATATATATAGATTCTCGATCTAATAACTTAAACAGGCGTCTAAGGTAGGCTTCCACTACAATACCTTACTGATGAGTCCAGTAGTGGAAGCTGGGACGAAACGCCATAATTACGTGATATTCTTCGCAATATATTAGATTATAATTTAAAAAGATTTTAACGATATTATTGGTTCATTGCCCTCTTTCTCTATATTATTTGTTTTTAAAAACATATTGAGCCTTATCTCAATGTACATTAATAATATATTAATTAGTTAAAATATTAAAAGAAGTTTTATGTATTATATTGCCATTTATGTTTATTTAAAATATTTAAATCATTGTTTTTTTAATATAATAGTAATATTTTTTGAAGGACATACAAAGTCGATAAAAATATTAAAAATCATAATCCCTAAAATTGAAAACTACGATAATGTTCCAAAAAGTTATAATCTCAAAATCTTCGAAACAAGACATAATGTCTTGACAATTTCTTTAGAAACTTTGAAATTGAGTATAAATATCATTTTGATAAATTTTCTTACAATAAAAGTAAAGGGTTTATAAAGTATGTGTATGTGTGTGTGTGTGTGTGTGTGTGTATTTGTACTACTCAAAAGAATTAAGCAAATTTGCAGCAAAAATTTGTCAATTTTGACTGACGATAACTTCATGAAAAATCTTTACTTTAAGATATTTTAGCGCTATTTTAAGTTTAGTGCATCCCTGCCACTGTATCTCGTAAAATATTAGTGTAAAATAAGTATGTGATATTAAAAATTGCAAAACAATAAAAATAAGATTAATTTATATTATGTATGATTATTTGAATTAAATAGTTCGTTAATTTACTTGGCTCTTTGCCCTTTTTATATTTACATTGTTTTATACATATAGAGTCTTATTAATTATTATTTTAAGATTAATGTTCTAAACAACTAAATCAGAATATAAAAGTGCCTATAAGAGCCAATATTGGATGATCACGTGTGATTAAATTTATTTTAATAATACACAAAAATTGTAGGTACACATTTTGACCGCAAGTAAATATTATATTTCAATTGTTATAACACTTCTCGGATTCTTATCATTATAATAAATGAAATAAAAATGAAAATAAATGCAATGCGTATTTGTCAATAAGATATTTAAGAGTCGCAATGGTATTAGAAATAATTCTGTTGTTCGAATGATATGTAAGCTTTTTACCAAGTTACAAAAGTCCCAATGAATATGTATTTTAACTTCCAAATTATTTGAAAAAAATGATAAGAAAGAATGTAAATATTTTTTTAAGACTTGAAATTTTACAGTTGTTATTAGTAAGGAATCTTTTTTTAAAGTAATCAATTTATACAATAGGCACTTGGGCAGCTGTTTAAATAATTTAACAGCTTGTGCGTATGAGCGAACGATCTATGTAATTATTATTAGTGTGATATTGTGTGAGCTTTGTTTTTACTAAGTTGTAAAAAGTCGACTGATTATGTATTAATTTTTAAATTAACTGGGAAATATAATTACACGAAGAATTTCTGCGTAATAAAAATTACGTGCTCTGCAAGCGTCGGCTCTTCATGATATTGCGTGTCTTATTGCACATAATTACGTCTATAATATGCTGAGGATCTGAGCACAGGATTACCGTAAGGCTGGGTCCACAATTTCGCTTTAAGAGGCCCTAAGCCGTAAAGCCGTAAGAAATTGACCAATCACAGTTGATTATTTTTCTCGCATTCAACTATTATTGGTCAATTTCTTACGACTTTACAACTTAGAGCCTCTTAAAGCGAGGTTATTGTGGACCCAATCTAACATATTTAAGGCAGACTTAAGTTGTTGACGTAAGCAACGCACAAGCTTTGGTGTGTGACGTTGGAATTAGTGGACATCACTATATCTCTTGATAGCGGCTACCACGTGCTATATAAGCAAAAGTAAGTAATCTAATCGTTTGTAAGCAAGTTAAAAATAATCTTGTTAATTATCCTGAAAGTCTTAATATGTTACGGCAATCCTGCGCTCAGACCCTAAAGTAAATCTTTCCTATATGTATACTAAACTATAAAAAAAATGCAATCCGACAGAGAAAAGGAAGGCAAACAATATTGGTATTTCTAACTCTTTTTTATTTATGGCAGTAATACAACATTAATCAATTAGTAAATCTCTGTCAAAGAAAACAGTACCAACTTTGCATTAGAATGACCTTGTTTAGTAATTTATGATTAAGACATTTTTTTAAAGAAAATAAAGAATAAATCTTAAAATTTTATAGGGCTTTATTCCTGCATATTTTCAAATCAGTTTGTGATTATCAAGAATCTGTGCATTATTTTATTGCAAAAATTTTATTGCACAATATAATCAAATTGA